CTTCAGTGAGTCACTTTAAAGGGAGTGAATACTGATGCAATCATCATTTTTACGTTTTTAACTCGTTCACATTGCTTTGTAGAAATGTGTCTTCATTTTGATACAAAAGCGTCTTTTTCCCGGGTCAATTCTTGTCAAAAAAGCGAAATTAAATATTCAGTGTGGAAAAGGAATAAAAGGGAAAACTTCCGTAGAGCCACACCACAAACAGTATTTAGGAAGAGGAACACGACAAAGAGCCCAAGGCGTTGAATCTTCAGATCCCAATTTAATTGAGCATCCATCGGATTTACCAGAACAAGTCTGATCCACGAAGGCCCCGAAACCCCAAAGACCCAAAGAATTCACTGCCAACATCCTAGTCTGAGACACCGGCCAGCACCACAAGTTCTGCGCCCACGGCCCGGCTGCATGAGCAGGACTTACACAATATCAGACAGGTAGATTTAATGTCGTGTCTCATCAGTGTACTTTTAATACATATTAAAATGATATACGAACATAAAACTAAATCGTGGTTCAGCATGAGCGCTCATAGTTTCTTTGTTTTCATGGGAAACAAAAATGCAAGTCTGCTGGTCTCTACTATGACGTATTTTGATCAGAAGCAGTTCGATAAAAATACAGATGCTTTAGCTGATTGTACAAATAAATAAATTATTTTAAAAAATCATTTGCAATGACACTCATGCACGTTTACAATACTTAAGAATGAGTGCACTTAACATGTACATTCTAATATGCTGATGCCTTTTGCATGACAAATATATTCTAGCAAAGTAAAAGCACACGACTACACTGTGATATGCCAAAATGATCAATTCATTGTTACATACTATAATTAATCTAGCAGTTTTACAGGAGTGAGGTCAATATGGGGCTGCATGCCCTGGTTCTGTACATGAATGCTGATGTTGGTATACTGCTCGTGGTATCATTTACTATTATAGTGTTCTTAATGTGAGTATATGGTTCCTATTAGTGTATACCATTGGTTTTTTCTAATGGTACATATCTACAGTTAGCATCATTTTTACATCCCTCAAGTATTAAACAAGATCTTTTTGGTCTCATAGTAGGCCTACATGTAGTGTTAAGAGAGGAGTGAAATGAGAGGTAAGAGTTGGCAATCTCAACATTTTCGTAACGTTTCCGTTTCAGCTGCAGGTATCAAGCCACAATGTCAAGTATTTTTCTGAGACACATCCAACAAATGAATAAATAAATAAATACAATTTATCATACATTTTACATTACATACAGTACATTCCCTTGAGTAAATACCGTATTTACACATGCTATCAGGGACAGGCTGTGAGGCAGCCTCTCGCTACAGTTGCACGATCCGGATCAGTCAGTGTGAAAATACAGTCATCGAGTCACTTTGCCGGGGCCTTTGCCCTCGTAGATCAGACCTCTTCCCCTGGAGACGTGGCCCCACTGACCCTGCCCGCTGGGCCTGTCTTGCGGGTGAGCGTGCCGAGGCGGAGGGGAGCCCGAGAAACTGGACGGGGAGCGGCTGCGTCCCGGCAGCGCGCCGCCCTCGCGGAGCTCCTGGCGGGAGGGGGAGGAGCTTAGCGAGCGCTGCAGGGAGGAGGAGGAGCTGCGAGGGCGAGGGGGAGGGCTGAAGAGCATCCCGCCGCGGTCCTGCATCAGCTGGGTCAGACTGGCCAGGAAGTCTGCGTCACTGGTGCTACTGGCACGAACCCTCAACCGCCGCCGTCTGTGGAAAATAACAGCGAACAGAATTACGTTTCGTCAGTTCTGTAGCTGTATTTACTTCTCCATTGCGGCAGAGTGCATCTTTCCCATTCAGAGTGCCTGCCTACATATGCCTTAGGGAGGCTGTGACTTTGAAGCAGTCACAGAAAATAAAGTATATTTTATTCATATTTTCACATTTTTGACAGCAGACAGGTTTGAATATTTTTAGGGAGTAAAGGAACAAGAAGCTCCCTGCAGCTCCCCAGCATGGTCATAATGACTCCTGTCACTGTGTCTTGCTGTTGTGTGGAAATCTATGTGCCCACGGTTCAGCAGAACATCAGACCACGCTCGCTTGTAGCTCTTATTGTGTCGTATCTTTTATTCTCATTAATATTATTTACATTTGTCTTATAGTCGTTGTGTTTCATTTATTTAATTGTACAGCAGTTTGGTTCAACTCCTGTTTCTTTAAAATGTGCTTTATAAACAAATTTGACTTTAGCATGACAGAAAAACACCAATCACCGACTGAATGTTGTATTAACACGACACGACTTTGTTTAGCTGCTCTGTAAACCCGTCTTCTGTTACATGTCTGACAGAGCAGCCTCCTGAGTGTTTGCTGCTGAAACTGCAAGTAACAATCAGCACTGATAACTTGAAATATCTACAATCAAACAAACACACACCTGTTGTCCACACATGGGCGGATGGGTGGCTTCCCAGGCGGCGGTCGAGGCAGAAACCTGCTCGTGAGCTGCTCCGGTATGAACGTGGCACTCACAGGACGAGGGATCTTACTTCTACTTCCTGAAGAGGAGGACAGGGAGAGAGGGTCTTCTCCCGCACAGTCGGATTTGGAGCCTCTCTCTGAGGAGAGCCGGTCTCTGGGCAGAGCGCAGGGCAGGTTGTCACAGGACAGCGATGGAGAAGGCGAGTGGGTGGGGGAGCCGGGGACGGGGCTGCTCCAGCGGTGACGCCTCTCCAAGTTCAGGTCTCTGCTGGGAGAGTCCAGGGGGTTGCCGGGTTCTCGCACAGGGATCCGGCTCAACCTTGGCGATGACGGCGAGTCTCTTCGCCTGAGCAGAGCCGGAGGTGGAGAGGAGGAGACGGTGACGGTGCTCTCCATCGCGCCTCCTCCTGCGTCAGCTTGAGGCTGCTGATTTGGCTCCGAGGAGCGATCAGGCAGACCAGAATCACTCTCTGGGTCTCTGTCGTTGGTCAGGTGAGCCGTGGGGCCTTTGGCTGGGCTTGGCACTGAAGCCAAGTCTAACCTCTCTCCATCCTTTAAGATTTCCTCTGTGACCTCCTCAGATTTACCAGACGGCGCCTCTAGCGGTATTGCGTCACTTTTCTCCTGTACAGGCGACTGCAGTGCACAGCTGGAGGACTGAGAAGAGTCGAACGATTATTAGAAGTTAAAAAGCTTCTTGAGGTTGCACACTTTTTAAAAATGTTGGAAGAAGTATCAGTTGAATTCAACTGAATACCAATTGCTGCAAATACTTTTTTTTTCAGTTTATGATAAAACTATCCATTGTTATAATATGAAAAGGCCACGGTCATTTCATCAAATGGTTTGATCCGTTTACTCAATTGTCCAGAACCCTCAAAACATTCAACATATTCACTAAAATCATATCACTACAAAAATATGATGCTTTAAAGGAACAGTTAACCTTCCATGTTGCATTAGTCTTCTATGCAATTAATGCAAATTTGGGTAATTTTGCTGTTCTCAATTCATTTCTAATTTTATCTGAAAATATTCAATTTAAACACTGAAATTGTATATTTATGTCAAGAAAAAGAAAGTTTAAACCCCTGCCCCTCACTCTTTCTAAGCCAAGGATCGCTGTATCACATGAAGTACCCTAGAGTCCAGCTGACCAATCACCTGCTTATTCCCGGTTAACAGTTTGACTCTGAAACTAAACAGCTAAATGAAACGGCAGATAACCGCACCGGCCCGTTATATAAATCATAGTAGGTAATTTCATTTAGTGGTCAGTTGTATTTGTGGTGGCGTTCGCAGACGAGGAGCTAAATCAAATGGACGACGAGGCTCGGAGGGTGGAGAAAGACAACAGGACGTCCTGAAAGTCAGCAAACTCTGGGAAACTGGAGTTTGTGATTTGTGGGCCGACAGGTTCCAATAAGCTTAAAAGAGAGTACCAGGGGTTCAGGTCTGGTTTAAAAAAAAAAAACACGAGGTAGTGTTCTGGCTAAGCTACAAATACGTTCCAGAAACATGCCATCAAAAGGCTTGAGCCTGTTCCAGCTTATTGTCTCTTCTCTTTCACCATCACCTAAAGACATGCAGACAGAGCAGCTCCTCTCCTGGCCGTCAATAGTCTGCATCAGCAAACTACAAAGTAACCTACATCTGTCACACATCTCTCTGCAGCCAGACTACGTTCTGCACTTGCATCGCTGCCTGTATTCCTACAATATAATCCTGTAAGAGGCTGTTTCACACCCCACACACCGAGCTAACTAGAACAAAATAGTTTCAGGAAGACATGACAAACACAGGTGTAGAAGTTGGTGTCGCCGAACGCTCAGCGCTTCGTATCGTCAGTAAAAGCTGTTACAACAAAGAAGCAGTCATTTGCATATTGCTGCATATTTGGTCTTGTACGACCTCTGCAGCGTCAACACATGCTGAACAGAAAGCTATTCACAGCCTCACACATGAAAACAAACGCTTTTGGCCCTCTCAGCTTCTGAAATGCACCCACTGCCCTTACCATGAGCTCTGGAGGGTTCAGAATTCTAACATACACATTTGCATGGAGAGCGGGCAAACTCTGGGTGGAGCTGACCTTGAGTTGAGTGTTCTGCAAAGTTAATTTCACAGTGCTGCTCTCAGCTCATGTACAAGTAAATTCTCGTTACTCCTACCTGGTCCATCTGGGTTCTTCCCACCATGACTGAAGGCATTTGTCCCAACATCCCTGGTAGCCTCCTGTGGCCCAGCAACCACGTGCCGGGCATGGCCATCTGCGACAGGACAGGGCTGCTGGGCACTGCGGTGTTCTGACCATCCTGAGGTTCAGAGGAGTGGTTCTCAGTTTCAGCAGTAGTGTGGGTTCCTGGCTTGTCCTCATGCAGGGCTTCTGCTGGAGGCTTGCTCCCTCCAGAACCGCTGCCTTGCTCTAGCTCCAGCATCACCCACTCCTGAGAGTCTCCCTCCTGGGGCACAGGACTGAAGTTTACAGCAACAAAGCCGCTGCTTGCGGCGCCCTCCTCTTGGTCCGGGGTCGCCGTGCCCGAGAGCTCCTCGTTGCAGGAAGGCGTCTGCTGCCCATGTGACTTCTCAGGAATGCATTTCTCCCCAACATGAGACAGGACAGGACGCTGTTTACCCAAGCTGAAAGAAGACATTATAATCATTAAGATGAGTTTCTGTGAAATAAAGGTCCTCTTCATTGCTCACATGATGTTGCAAGTTTCTAAATGACATGTGTGCTTATTGTAATCTGAATGGAGTACTAACTAGGCTTCAAGGAAACGTTCGATGGTGGGCTTTGGTTCGGGTGCGAGCCTCTTTTCGAATGCCAAGCTCTGGCTGTGTCTCATCCTCCGGAGCAGCGGCGCAGCTCGTTCCAAAAACATGGTCTCTGATCGCACTCGTCGGGGAGAACTCTGCATGGAGCCAGTGTTGGGACTTTGGTTCCCCTGGTTCTGACTATGTTCATCCTCACTCACCACCTGAGAACAACAAACAAACACAAAGCTCAAAACACTGACATCATGCGGTTGAACCTGAGCCATTTCTTTGAATTTAGAACTAGGCAGTCCATGTTTTTCCTTTACTGCAATATCTGGGACACAGTCAGTGACAACAGTGGTTTCTATTGAAAAACAGCAGAACAATATGTAGTGATAGACGTTGGAAAGTCACGACAACATCCTAAATTTGTATCTAGATAAAGAACTCCATGGATATATTCATGACGGGGGACACCAGCATCCACTGCAGTGTAAATAAACTCGGCATCTCATTGCACAAAACGGACACAGTTACATAAGAATATTATAAAGCGGCACTAAAAGCGTCATACTGAGCATTTACAGTAAACTACAGTGCCCTGACCTTTCTGATCATCGGCTGTGCGTGTTTATGGTTTCGGTTGCGGTCCATCTCTTCCCATACATCTCCACCAGGGGTGGTCGGTGTGGGGATGGGGGGGCAGTTGTCAGCGTCACTGAGGCGCTCCCCTTGCAGGACATCTTCAGTGTTCTCTCTCTGCAGCTCGCCCGGCAGCACTGAAGCATTGGCCATGCTGTGGAAGAGAGGGAAGGTCACCCTGCAGCTCGTTTCCACAGCACAATTTAGAGCAGCGACTTCTCTGGGATCTCTGACTGTGCACATTTCTAGTCTAAAAAAAGCCGCAGCTATATATTTAAACACATATCCAACTGAGTGTGAAGGAAGTTTGTATAGGATAAGTGAAACTGCAACAACAAGCACACAGCAGTTCAAAAAAACTGAAGGACTATACGTGAACAGAGACAAAGTTTTCTTCAGCTTTAAGTACCCCAAGTATGCTGGTGTGAGGCGAGTAAGCTGCTGAGCAGTGGTTGCTGCGGCAGTGATGGTCAGCATATCCTCTGAATCACATTTCTCCCAGTCATAAGGGTCATTCTCCAGCACATTGTGGCTTTTCATGGCGTTCTCAAACAATGACATCAGGAGCTGTCACAGAGAGAAGAAAAACGCACGCATCAGCATTTGACAGCAGGAGAGAAATAAACAGTAGGCGCAAAATGTGACAAACAAGAGACGGCCGACCTGATAGTCAGGCTTAGTGAAGTAGTCCAACGTCAAGATATGATCCAGGAAAGTACTGAACTCTGAGGGAAGGTGCTTCAGCATGAGTCGATGGTCATACGTCTCTTTTAGATTTCCTACTTGTTCCTGAGAAGAAGGGAGCAAAAACGGTGTGTGAATAAGTCTGCTGTGTATTACAAATGTGTTCTAAGGAGGTTATAGCAGCACATACTTTGTCTTTAATTTTCCTCCAGGGAAGCTGACCAACCATGAATTCAACCAGCATGTAGAAGAGAGACCACAGGTCGTCATGACGACCCATTTCCTGCAGATTCAGACACACAACACACAAGTGAGGTAACAGGTAAAATAGAGAGGCACTATGATCGCAGTTTATCACTGAGAGCAGAGTTCCTTCATTCACAAGCAAATAAAGGCACCGAGGTGCTTCAGAATGGAAAGACATCCCCATGTGGAGTTTATCAATCAACATGTCAGCATGAAGTTTCTACTACGTATTGTTCTTGAGCTGACATGTTATAAAATCACAGACAACCCCGTGACGACAGAATATCTCACATAACATGTACGACGGTGTTGGGGGGAAAAAAACAAAACACAACTGTACATATTTATGGGTCAGGCTCACCTTATTTTTGTGAGCATTGATTGAAGCATAACGCACAGTTCCTCTGAAACCTGCCACAGGACGAGGCTGAAAGAGAAAAGGAATTTAGCAGATTGGCAAACAAGTGCTACATGAGAGTAACTGTACTTTAAAACAGGCTGACAGGCCCTAAACAACATTTGATGATGTTTCTATTTAAAAGAAAACAGATTCCGGTCTGCATGTTGAGGACTCCCTCACACTTATTACATGTGACGACACGTTGAGGTCACGTGTTTCTTTCTTGGTAACATGCTGTGTAAAGCCTTTAGCCGCTGATAATCAGGCTTCACAACCAGAGAATAAGTTGATTCAAAGCCAAAACAATGCTTTAGTGAGGCTGGCACAAAGTACTTACTGGACGGACTTCCTGGCTGGATGTGGTAAACTGACGTGCCAAACCGAAATCAAGCATATAGCAGCATCTGCAGGTACTGGCCAGTCTTCCCATCGCAAAGTTTGACTGCAATTATAACAGAGATAAGCGAGTTCGACATGATGAAAAATCTTTGTGATAAGCAGTTACGTATAAAAAAGAAGTTACATCTGGCTTATAGATCGACTCACTGGTTTAATGTCACGGTGCAGAAAACCCACAGAATGAATGCTTTCAATGGCCTCTAAAATCTGCTTGCCCAGTCTCAAAGTTGTGGAGACGGAAAAGGTGCCGCGGGTCATTGTTCTGCGCAGATCTGCCAGATTCCTTCCCTTTAAACAGGAAGTCAGTGTCGCACGTCACACACATGATGCAGACAGATGTGGAGGCAAAGGAAACATCTGACTAGTGAGGACCTCCTTACCTGGAGTTCCATCACCACGTAGTTGAATCGATCATTCCTGCCACAGCCCACAAAGCGACAAACGTGGTCTTTGCCTGTCAAGGAAATATTTGCAGGTAGACAGATTAAGCACTGTTGGTAAGTTCTCTATTCCTCCAGATGTTTATATGGGAGAAAGTTTAGGTAAAAATGTGACACAAATATCACATTAACTGCTGCCACAATAAACAACCAGTCAGCATAATCCATCACGTGGAGCTGAAACGCTTTGACATCAATATTTTAAACCATCACTTTCTTTTCAACCTTCAAATCCTTATTAAGGGTTTAATAGAACCTTGGATTTCTTTGTGGACTTAAATGATAAGCTCCTTTTTAATTCATTTTTATCACGCTTGAGTTGTCAGCTTAACTTCACAGCTTCGCACATTCATACCTACACTCGCTTTGCATTTCGTACTGAGTTGCGTTATATAATAACACAGTGTCTGTCAAAATAAAATGAACCTCGATGAAATGGTCATTTTCCTTATCAGAGGAAAATTAATTATTTCGATTAATGACTGTCAACAGATTACTCAATAGTAAAACGGTTGTTAACGGCACAACTCTGATAACGTGAAATAATAAAATTAAAAGTGGAATAATGCAGCAGTTGTGACACTAGAGATACTATAAACCCCTCATGTAGTCATTTCATGTTTTCACAACATCTACAACTACTCTGATTGAAACAAAGGTCACCGCTGCTTATATCATTAATAATTCTATGTAATGAAACACTGGCCTTCATGGAAAAAACAGAACTATTAAAATGTATGAGTGCTACTGTTGGGCCGCTGTCAACTAAACTGCCAAAAAGTGTCCTGATCTGATTCCCACTTGAGCTGCTCCGTCAGTGGCAGCACCACTCACCCTGAAGCTTCTTCAGCACGGCCACCTCCATCTTCAGCACCTGTTTGGGTTGCTGAGCAGACTCGACCTTCAAGGCGACGGTGGCCTGGCTCAGCTGATCCAGAACCTCGTAGATCTCCCCAAACCCTCCTCCGCCTATCTTCCGCACCTAAAGAGAAGATTATATTCATTTACGAGCCAGAGTGTTTAAATGGTGCCCTCTGCTCCCTCAGTGAATGGACATGATTTTGTGATTTCCCCTCTTTCAGTGACACTCACCACTTTCCATCTGTCCCTGACTACGTCTGCCACTGACAGGATGTCTGTGTGCTCTCCAGCCCCACTCATCCTGAGTGCTCTCAGCTGCAGCCTGCACCTGGCATCAGTGTCGAAAGCCCCTCACTGAAAACAGGGAGCACATTTACATATTCACTTTCATAACACTGCACACAACATGCTGCTGAGTCTGCAGCAGAGCAGCGCAGATCTCACTGCATCTTCCTGCTCCGGACAGAAACATGTGGAGCATGTAATCCAAACGTTGGCTCCACCTCACGTCTCCAAGGCTCATCTAAGACGCTAAACCAATGCTAGCTGATGGGTCTGAAGATAGCCGCTAGCATCGTTGGGTTTGTTTGAATCAGAGCCAAAGCACAACACAGCTAGCATAGCGCAGCGGCAATCACGGGTCATAAACGGCCACCGACCGGGCGTCGGAGGAGATAAGCCGTTGAGGAGCTAATCTCGCTTGTTGACGGTGTCCGATGCGGCGGCTCCGGTGGTCCCGTGATAAGGCTAACTAGCATGTTTACCAGCGGAGAGCCGTTTAGAGAGCAAACCTCCGTGACCTCTTACCTCGCTCCGCTGCACCAGCGCGATTCCAGCTAGTGTGTGAAACCCGAACGGCGCCCATGATGCCAGCGTGCTCCCAGCGAGGTGAGTCATTCCGAGCGGCTGTGTTTTGTTTCAGGAAGCAGACGGCGGTGGAGGACCATAGCTGACCGGAGCTACAGTTAGCCTGCTAGCCTGCTAACGGATGATGGGGAGCGACACCCCGTGCGCTCTGCCACAGCGGCGGCGGTGACGTCACGGGGCTCGCGCCTCCTGATTGATCCGCAAACTTCTGCATCCGCGAGGAGCCGCACCGAATAGACAGCACCGAACAACACACAACAGTAAACAACACAGGACAGTAAACAACACACGACAGTAAACAACACGTGAGTGCAGGGACCAGTGGAGAAAGTACACAAAGGTCACTATCAAGATGTTAGATATTAATATATATATTATTAGATCTAAAGTATAAAGTATTCCATTATCACAGTGATATTAGTATTGCTCAGTCGTACCGTGTTATTTATGTACATCTAACAGTGGAAAGATGCAGCATCAATGTCAGTTTTCTGTCAAAATGCACCTATTTTGACTATAAGTATGATAGATCAGTACAGTGGAAGTTTGCTAAAGTGAACAACACCTGGGAGGAAATATTACTTTATGAGTCATTTTAGATTTAAGATTAACTATATGTTCAGTGTTTGCTATTGCTCTGACTAATTGCAACATAAATATTCAACAACACTAATAGCATTTAGTTTTTAGACCCTTTTTTTTGGATTGACAATTGTTGTACAATTGATGGACCTAGCACAAAAGTTTTAAATTACTATATTGTTATTATACTGATATTTAAATTCCTGACATTAAAATAATGTCCAGTTACCAACCAGCCTGGATGCTTAGCTGACACTAGCTGCTAATTCAACCTAGCTAACTAGTGCTACAGCAAGCTAATATAGCATGATGTCATTAGCTTAACTTAAAGTCAGCTAGTTAGCTTTTTAGACCGATAAAAATGCATTTTCTATCGCTGGTTAGCTTGTGTGTTACTGTATTAAATGATGGCGTACAATATTCATCAGAAATCTAGGCAAAAAATATAAATATAAAAAAATATAAAATATGTACCAAGTAATTGAAAACCTTCCATATGACTTTCATGGGAAAAGGAATGAACACGTATTTTTATTTTTTTAATAATAAACATTTGTACCTATATCTTCACAACTCCTACAACAATTGTGACGAAGGTCCAGCATTGTGTGAGATTCTTCTGTCTGTTTTTTGTCCCAGGGTTCTGTCTGTCTATCCAGTGCTCTTTACACCACTACACTGCTGGTTCTACTCTGGGAACCTTCAGGTGTCTGGGATCCACAATCTCCCAGGATCTGAAGTGGACACTCGTCATAGATGCAATCAACAAACCAAAAGGGCCCAGCAGAGGATGCACTTCCTGTTCCAGCTCAAGAATTCAACCTGTCTCCCATTCTGCACAGTCTGCTCTCTGCAGTTCAGATACTGTCTGGTTCGGATCGGCCACCAAAATGGACAGAGACACACTACAACGGACAGTCAGGATACCTTCCATCCAAGGCTTATACCTGTCCTGAGTCATGAAATGGGCATGTAGCATGACTAGAGACCATAGACTCTGTTGCTGCAGAACCTTTACACCCCTGATCACAACCTGTTCTCTCTGCTCCCTGAACACCAAAACACCCAGACACAGGAACAGTTCCTCCCCACCGGCCATCACTCTGAACATTTCAATCAGTCACAAACAACTCATTCTGCATTCCCACCCTGAGCCACTGTATATACTGTTTACCACATACCTGGTTATATGTCTTACCCTATTCCACCTGCCTCATGTGTATAAGGTGTCAATAACTCTGTATTGATTGTTTGTAATTGTATTTTGCATTAAAGTTTGCTTCACTTTAATTTTGCACTAAAACTCTGGCTCACTTTAAAGATGCTCGTTAACACAAATCTATAGTTTTATTTAGCAGTCGCACTAATTTTATGATGTTTAAACTGTAACAGACTGAGTTATTCCACACTTTAGCAAGTTTTAAAGGACAGTGATCAGATAGCTTCAAACTCCTTTGACCAGTGATAATAAAAATTCACCCTAAAATGCAGCTTTATTCAAATGACTCAGTGCCACAGACAACAAAAGGCAGATGGGAACAGGCTTCTGATGTGTCAGTTAGGGATGTAATCAGACACTTGAACCATTTGTTGTCTAAGAACTCATTTCATCCAGGAAGTTATCTGGGACAAACTGCCACATGACGGAAGATCTCGAATTACCCAACCAAGTTCCAATGTAGTGTGTGTTTAGTTGTTTCAGGCTTCACGGTTTCGTACAAAACAAACCTGAAGAACTAATCCTGTCTATTTGCGAAGGTGAGGCTTCACGCATCAGTGTTCTCCTTCAGAATCACTTTCCAGTTCACGTATGTATGGCTGAATTACTGCAATACTACAATCTGCTATTGTGTAGTAAGTTTACAGTGTTAAGTGTAGAGTCGAAGGTGAGCTGGTGTGCTCGAGCTGCGCCGAGTAGCGGAGGGGTGGATGGAGAAAGGCCGAGACATATTCTGAAGGAATATTCTGCAAGATGGGGCGGTGGTTAGCACTGTTGCCTCGTAGCTAGAAGGTCGCCGGTTCGCATCCCGGTGAGGACACCCGGGATCTTTCTGTGTGGAGTCTCCATGTTCTCCCCGTGCAGCGTGGGTTCTCTCCGGGTTCTCCAGCTTCCTCCCACACAGTCCAAAAACATGTTGAGGTTAATTGGTGATTCTAAATTGTCTGTAGGTGTGAATGTGAGTGTGCTTGGTTGTCTGTCTCTAAGTGTAGCCCTGTGATAGACTGGTTACCTGTCCAGGTGAACCTGCCTTCACCCTGAGTCAGCTGGGATAGACTCCGCCCTCCATGACCCCAGTGAGGATTAAGGTGTAGAGATGATGGATGGATATTCTGAAGGAAGCATCGTTACAGAGTTATATCTCATCCAAGGCAGGAAGGGATTATATTAATGGAAAAAACTAATCTGTAACTTTGATATAGAGAGATGAGATGTTAGGGGTTTAATCAATGACCAGAGAGGGACTTAAATTCTTTACTTGAGATTACTGTGGCTCTGATGGCATCCATGTTCACGCAGACAACAGCAGTGCAGAAGAAAACAGAGTCTCGTGTGCATTTTTCTTGAACTAACGTGTTGATGCCAACAACGATTTTGACACAGCAGCCAAACCGGCTCACTGCAGTTTCTGTGTTCATCATGTGACACACACCAGCCCAGTAAACAAATGTAGAGGGTTAAAATGATCACAGAGGGGTATGTATTTTCCCTCATGTGATCATTTTAAAAACTGTGGATTCATTTTCTTGTACAAAACAAATCGCCCAAAACTACTCCCTTTATTATCCATTTGCTCAGTAACATCTGTAAAGTCTTGAAGACCCTGACAATTGGTTTTCATTTTATTTTATTCATTTGTGTAGGGATCCAACAAGAAGTCATGCAGCCCGGCCTGTAAAAAGTCTTGGACATGAACAAACAAAATACTTCAGCTTTTGTTGAAACGTTGTCAGCTCTGCCTTGAATTTAACCAGAAAGCTGAATCCTGACAGATCTAAAAGCTCCATGGCGAGATCGTGGGTGCAGCTCTGACGTAAACAAAGAAAATCATCTTATGTTAACTGCTTTAATAGATGTTTTGCTTCATGTATAATAGATGTTTGACACAGCAGCAGGACAGAGAGAGGTGAAATGCTGAATTCCAATCAAATGATGCTTTTGCAAAAAAACAAGGGTCCTAGAAGTGTGGTCCTGAAACTGCGGCCTCCTCTGCTGCAGACACACGGGATGCACTTCAGTATCTACCATTCTATACAGTACCCAGTCAAAAGATATAGTACATCCCAATACATTGCATGTCAAACATAGTATGACAACATATGGAAAGAAAAGTCCTGCTACTTCCAGTTGGATTTGGAGGCCAGCATGCAACCCTCTGTGCACAGGTCACATACGTACAATAATATGATGAAGTAATATGTCCCAGTTGTTTGCATTCTGCACAAAACTGTATGCACTTTGAAGGGGAGCTGTAGTAGGTCTTTAAAAGACATGAAAAAAGCACAAACTCTGGTATGTAGCCATAATACAGAGATTTCTGACTCAGAACTTAAAGAGTGCACTGAAGAATTTTATGCTTAAAAAATAAAGTAATTAAAAATTAAACCAGTATTTACGTGAACACTTTAGCTCATAGCTATTGCCCTTAAACTTCCCACATGAACATATTTATTTATTTATAAATATGCAAATGGTGTTTTGTTGTTACTAAGGCCTATGCACGAATGTGCACAAGAGTCCAGTTGGACAGCTGCTGCAACACAAACCCCTGAATGTGTGTGTTGGTTGTTTTCTTTCCTCTGATCTAAACGCAGACACGCAGCGCTCCAAACACACTGTTTTCTCCTGTCGTGTCTCACCTTAATGGAATTTTAAGGTCTCTTGTAAACGATGTGTTTGCAGGGGCTGCTTGGATTCCACCTCAGCATTTCTAAACTCCTGGCTGCGGCCCTGATTTTTAACCACCGACAAAACGGCGTCCGTGCGCAGAGCCGCAGCTCCGCACTCCGGCACGGCCCGGCCAGCAGAACGAACGCACACGGACACGGCTCTGGGAGTGGCCAGACAATCGGATTGGATAACAGGATGTGAGTTGAGCTGTTTTGGGGTGAGGCGGTGCGTTCGGGTGACGCGCAACTTTCTGCGTGTTTGCGCAGTTTCGCAGCGCTCCACACGCTCCGGACGAGCCTAAGCTGCGGCTGTGAACGCGCTGCAGCGACGTTGAAATCTGCGGAAATACCCGAGCGGGCCGCTGCACGGCGGAGTTTTCACACAGCCACCGTCTCGTGTGTGGTTTACTCGTTGATGCGGGGGGAGAAAGTTGTGGACATGTTTTCCTGGAAGTGCACAGTTTTACGGATACACTGTGCAACATCGTAACTACGGCGTTAATGAGCCGCTCCGCCGCGCCCGGACTTTGGAGCGTCTTTTTCGTGGGATTGTGAAGTCGCCCGTGCGCCATATTGTGCGCCGTGAAACTCGAGGGAAAGTTGTCAGAGTTATGACATTTGCTGCGCACGATCCCCTTCATGGAGCTGCATGCAGTCGACTTTGATCGAGACCAAAGTGGCTCCATGGAGCTGGCCATGGAGAGCTGCGCGCACCATTGATAAGGTTAATACACTGTGTTTAACTAATGCTCACTAATCTGCCGTGTTGCCTAACAGCACTCAGCTCCTCGGGCGCTTCCTTATTGCTGATTGTTAACATAACATCACTGGCTATCGCTCGGGTGATTGCATGAGCCCCTTCGTTTCCTGTATTTCTTGTTGTACCAAATGGCAGCTGCACTGTTTGCGCCTCCGTGTTGCCTGCCGCCTCCAAACTTCAGCTCGTAATGTCCTCTCTGCACGCACCTGGACGTGAATATCGAAACATAGGTTTTGCTGTGCCTGTGCTCACGTCTACAGGCCTATATGTTTCCACTTAACTGTCAGGGCTATTTGCTGGTGTAGGCCTCAGTTTCCTCTTTGCTGCAGACGACACTGAAAACTTTGGTGCTTGCCTTTCTGGAAAGTGTCTAACATGTTGTTTCTCTCACAAGGTCTCCAAAGAGGATGAGAAGAATGGACTGCAAACTTCAGATTTGATTCTTGAAGGAGGGCTGCATGTTCCCCACCCTGCACTTTCCTCTGGGATTTATATTTCCTCCCAGATACCTCTGAATACACAATTAAAGAATTTCTCGACCACAGGCAGTGAAGTCACACTACGGAGATCAAGACTCAGAGCTCTGACTCTCGACGTTTTCATACTTTTTCCAATATTACTATGAGTCTCCCGCCTCAAGTTAATACTGACAAGAGCGGCAAGCTTCGGGCTGCAGCCATGAAAGAGACCGTGCAGCATTCAGGGGAGGTTTATTATGGTATGGGACCTCCGGCTTTAGAGTCAAGCCACAGTGACTCTGCCAGCAGCTCTGGTGTTTATAACCCAGAAAAAGGGCCCCAAAGTCTACCACACTATCAACAGGCTGCTCCAGTAAAGTGGATGCACCAGGACTCCATACAGGCCCCCGGCTGGTCCCAGGAAGCCCCGGTGCCGGCCTGGGGGCAGAACTTTGGCCCCTACATGAGCGGAGTGAATGTCAGGGGTCAGATGGCGTTCCACAAAGGGGTCCACGAGGGCGTAGCTCTGCCGATGGGAGGGGAGAATCAGCTGCCTGCACCCGTGGAGGTTTACAGAGATGCCACCCAGGCCCAAGCTCAGGGGAGGGGGCTGGAATGGGAGCAGCACGCCGCCGCCGCGATGCATCAGGCTCAGCTGCAGGCCTACCAGCACGGCCACAAAGGCGTGGAGCTGCAGGGCCAGCCGCACGTGCCGCCGCACACTCTGCAGGGCTCCATGCTGCAGCCCTTCCAGGCGACGTTCAGACCCAGCAAGCAACAGTTCTCATCCGGGGGGTATTACTCGGTTTTTCCCGGTAACAAGGCGATGCCGAACCTGGCCTACAGCGAACAGCCCAAAACTCAGCAGCAACTTCTCCACCAGATGCAGCAGCAGCAGCAGCAACAAATGCACCATCATCACCAGCAGCAGCAGCAGCAGCAGCAGCAGCAACAACAGTTGCATCAGCAGCATCAACTTCAACTGCAGCAACAGCAGCAGCAGCAGCAGCAGCAACAACAACAGCAGCAACATCTGCAGCAACAGCAAATCCAACAGCAGCAAATGCAACAGCTGCAGCAAATGCAGCAACAGTATCACCATCAGCAGCTACAGGAGCGACAGCAACAAATGCAGCAAATGCAGCAGCAGCAGCAGTTGCAGCAACAAAACGTGCCACAGCAAG